ACACGTGGCTAGACCTCTACATCTTTGATTCTCCCATCAAAACTCTTTCCTCTTCTCAACATCCATTTCTCTCATCACATGACCTAATCCAAATTACATACGACCTACCCGTAAAATCCTTTATTCCCAAAATGATCTCATACCGTAATTTAAACCTTCTCTCTTATGAATCCCTTCATATCTTCGTATCCATCCTAACTTCAAACCTACAATCCTTATTAGACATCCATGCTCCTCTGAAAACCCACTGCACCTTGGCCGACTCCTGAAATAAAGGAAATGATGAAAAGAAGGAATGCAGCATGGTGCAAACACCGCCGAACCCGTTTAATTGCTGATTATGCTTCTTTCAAACAACTTCGCAATGCAACCCAATCCACAATCAGACTTTCTAAATCCAACTACTTCCATAATGTCCTTTCCAATTCTCCCGATTCCAAATCAAAATGGAAAATACTTCGTAATCTATCCCTACCAGATTCCAATAACCTCATTTCCCTCCCTGTTACTCCAGATGATCTTAATGACCATTTCTTATCATTTGCTTCTAATCCTTCTCCTACTCATGATATTGAACACCACAATTTAAATCCTGAAAACTTCTTTTTTTCCCATGTGTCCTACGACAAAATACTTTCCACTATCCAAAAATCCCACACCAATGATTATGGTCCTGACAATATTCCAGTAAAACTTTTAAAATCCAGTCTTCCTACCCTTATTCCAGTACTTTATCATATCTACAACTTTTCACTGCAAAACTCCATATTCCCCTCTTCCTGGAAAACTGCACTAGTCCGTCCTTAGAATAAAACTTCTAACCCTTCCTCACTGAATGACTTCCGTCCTATTTCTTTCCTTTCCAACCTCTCAAAACCACTGGAACACCTTGTCCAAAACCCACTTTCCAACTTCCTAGAAGAACGTCTGGTTCCTTATTCTCCCACCCGCAATTTTCCAAATCTTAGACCTCTACATCTTTGACTCTCCCGTCAAAATCCTTTCCTCTTCTCAAAATCCCATTTCCTTTCACATCACATGACCTAATCCAAATCACATATGACCTACCTGTGAAATCTTTTACTCCCAAAATTGTTTCATACTGCAATTTAAATCTCCTTTTCTATGAATCCCATTAATCTGACCTCGATTCCATACAATGGGATATCATGTATTCCATATGATATCTACCCTTATCTCAAACCTACAATCCATATTAGACAGCCATACTCCTCTGAAAATTAGAACCTTATGCCGACCCACTGCTCCTTGGCTGACTCCTGAAAAAAATGAATGATAAAAAGAAGGGATGCAGTTAGACGCAAATATCGGCGAACCTGTCTACCTGCTGATTATGCGCTTTTTAAAGAACTTCGCAATGGAACTCGATCCACAACCTGACTTCCTAAATCCATCAACTTCCACAATGCCCTTTCCAATGCTCCTGATTCTACTCAGTTCCCTCTCTGTGACTCTAGACGATCTTAATGACCACTTCTTAACCTTCTCTTCCAATTCTCCTACTTAACATATTGAACATCACAATTTCAATCCGGAAGACTTCTTTTTCTCCCATGTATCTTAGGATAAACTACTTTCCACCATTTTAAAATCCCATACCAATGATTATGGCCCTGATAATATTTCAGTAAAAGTAATAAAATCGATCCTTCCTGTCTTTATTCTCGTACTTTACCATATTTAAAACTTTTCATTGCAAAACTCTATATTCCCATCTTTCTGGCAAATCGCTCTACTCCAACCTTTAAATAAGACTTCAAATCCTTCCTCACTTCACAACTACTGTCTAATTTCTCTCTTTCCCAATCTTTCAAAACTGGAACGCCTCGTCCAAAACAACTTTTTAACTTCCTAGAACATTCCCTAATCAACCCTCTACAATCTGGCTTTCACCCTGGCCACTCAACACAATCTACACTCCTAAAAATAACCCATGACCTCCAAAACTCCATTGAACACGAAAAACATATTATCCTTATCCTCCAAAATCTTTCTTCATACATTTCCGAGCTCCTTCAATTCAAAACCAGTTCCCGATCTTCAGATTTGTATACAAAGGCCCACTTAACAGCTGTTTTCGACAAATTATCTCATCCTCATCCCTATAGAATTCTATCCCTCCCTATATCAGTCGCTCCAATACCCTCCCCAGCTTTAAATTTCTCCTATTCACTTACCTATCCATTCAGTCCCCATAAAATTGTAAATATGTATATAAATTATTAGCTAGTTTTAAATATGTTTATTTCACTTTCTATTGGATATCATAGAGTGATGTAATCTTCGGTTTGTATTTCTTTACTGTTCTGATGACGTCTGAATTGACCCTTGACAGGCTTTTTTTATTGTTTACCTACATTTTGCTGTGAGGTTGGAATTTTTCCAATGTAACCTAACATGAAATAATAATAATAATAATGTGGAGTTGGTTGACCGTTGATATAATATGAGAAGGAGTTGATCGGAGGGGTGCGGTCAAATTAATACTAAATTAAATAAGTAGAATTATTTAATTTTTGCTGACGTTTTGACCCACTTTGTAGGTCTTCATCAGTGCTACATCCTATGCCCTGATGAAGACCTAAAAAGTGGGTCGAAACGTCGGCAAAAATTAAATAATTCTACTTATTTAATTTAGTATTAATTTGAATGCACCCCGCGATCAACTCCTTCTCAAATAATAATAATAAGGCTCGATGCCAATACCAACAATTTATGTCTACATAATTTCATCCATCTAACACAATCCAAACGTAACTTTGAAAAATTCGAGCCTTAATGCAATCCTCCCATCTACATTTTGGTCAACCTTTGGATGTATAGAGAACCTAAGTCCTCATAGCGTATATTAACAATATAAAATAAATAAAAGGGGTTCATTAACTAAAAATAATAAACGAAAACCATTGATTTAAAATTATTTATTAAAAATAAATAAGTACAAGTTAGCATGTTAACTAATCAACCATGTTTTACTACTAAGTACTTAGTATTAAATTAATACTAAAGTTATAACTAAATTAATTTATAGAAACAATTTGACCGTTTAATAAAAAATACATCATTAATTTATTTTTAACTAAACAAATACCTACAACACATCTAATATCTTGTTGTTTTTCATCACAAGGTCAAGCTACCTTACCAGAGTAATTTTTAATAATTAATTCGGCACAGTAAACTTTGGGTCAAACACAAACACACAGGTTAAGGAATCTGTTATTTATTTGGTATCATTATCATGTTATTTTATTATTATCATTAAAATTACTATTGCTTTAAGCTGATTGTAGCTGTTAAATCATACTCATTTAATAAATGTACAAATCTTAATGTGTATTCCAAATCTCCTTACTGGTGTTCGACAAGAAGCATAACAATTAGTTAACTGAATTTCATAATAATTTATCAACAATTTCTTAATTTTTTTTTTGTGAATTACTCATAAGTTCAAGTAAACAAATAAAATCAGTTAGTTGAATATACAATTCAATTTTCAACATTTTGATAAAAATACATGAATATTTATAAGAATAGAAAAAAAAAGTTAGAAATTGAAAATAACAAAACCGTCATAACTATATCTTCCTTAATTACATATATTCCAATTTAACAGATATAAAGTGTACAAAGGTGAATATTTAATCTGAAATTGAACATCTGAATAACATGGCAATAATATTTCCCTATGAAAATGTAAGTTAAGAAATCATGAAATTTGATAACAAATATTTTACATTGCATCCAGTAAAACATAACCTGTCTTTTTTGTTCATTTTTTAAGGAATCAATTAACATCTAGATTTTTTAAAACAACTCAGCAAAAATTATTTCTTATAAGAAAAAGAAGTATAAATACAATCATTGCATTTCCAATATTATCTGAATTTTCAATCTAATGAAATACATAACTATTACAAAAATACAAGTAAAAAAGAGCAGTTTGGTTAATATTATGACACACTGACTTATGAAGAACATAAATTTTGATCTTTTAACATTTTTATGTCATGGTAATAGTAATAGTAATAATAGTAAGAGGCCATGTTCTTTCCAAATGACTCACTTAATTATTAGAAATTGGTTGGGAGGATTAAAAATAGCCAGTTCTGTGAGTAAGGAGTGAATGATGGAAAACAATGTATCAATATTTGGAACTAATATACAACTTACATGGAATACTATCTTGAGGAAAATCAGTGGACAAAGTAAAGAGAGATGAATAGGCATATGGTTTGCTTCGAATATTTATCATTTAAAGTACTTAGGTATTCATCGTAAATGATATTTCATTTACAAGCAGTTAAGATTGGAAGGCTTAAATGTGGCAGTTACTATGTCCCTATTAGTCCGCAACACAGAACCTGTCATTTTTTTCTAATTATTGCTATACATTTAAAACTTCCTGAATGGATTAATCTTTCGCAACCTACAACTTTTTTATTTTTAAAAATTCTGAGAAATGAGGTATTGTCTCAATAAATTAATTAATTAATGAGGTAATACAAACTCTTGAATACCCAATTGTTTTGTACTTTAATCTTAAGATAAATTGATAAAAAAAATCGAGAAAAAAGGTGGATTAAAAAAATATTAGATCTTTTAGATCTATTCAATCTTGTTATTTTGACATATTGGGGGTGGAGGTCATGCCCCTTAGCAAACTTAATTTTTTTTAGAAAGTATAGTAGAAATAAAATGGAAAGAAATATGTTTGATTTAGAAGACATTTTGGTTGTATTCGATATGTAAAATATTCATATAAACTTGGTAATAAGGAAGAGGATGGTCCAGGGTGGCTGTCATAAATAGACTAAATAGTTTTGCCACTATTTAGTCTATTTATGACAGCCACCCTGGACCACCTCCTTCCTTAATAATACAACGGTCAACTATTAAGTATTCAATCAAACTTGGTAATACATTATTATATCAAGATTTGATCACTAAATAATTCACTATTGAAAACCAAATATTTAAACAGTATATAAACAAAACATTAAGTTGTTTTAAACAAAAAATAGGAATAAGCAATTATGGTAACATCGGTTCAGCTGTTATATTCTTGATGAACCGTTTTCTTTAGTTATGTTGACTAGGTTAACAGCTTTACTTTGTAAATTTAAAGCAAAGAACTTAACTTATACAGTACTCCCATTGGTATGCAATCTGGCAATAACAGATGAATATTGATCAATGGTTTCTAAGAACATCATATCTAATCTGGCTTTACGGTCTTCATCGCTGATAAGGTTGTCATGAACTTCTTGAAGGGTCATTCCACTCTTACATTTAGAAATGAGCTTCATTTGCTTCTGAAATTATAAAAATATCTTAAGTACCACTTCACGTTAACTATGCAATGAGATCTAAGAAAAGTAGAAAGTAATTAAATCAGGGCCGGAATTAGAATTTTTGCCAGGAGAGACAAGCTTAATTTTGCCACCCCTGCTTTTACCTACTGCAGTCCTTGAATAAAAATCAGCACTTTATAAAAATATTTTTGGTATATATATTTTAAAAAACAAAACAATCTCATTCATAAATTAACTCATTTTATTGACTGAATTAAGATTAAAACAGCCAAAAAGTAGAAATAACAATTTTTTTATTGAAGCTAAAAAAGAAAATCACTTGAAATTTATCTCCCTCTGAGTTGTGCAGTTGAGGCATGTGCCTTCTTCTTAGTTTCGATCCTGAACTAAGTATTTTAGTAAAGTTAAGAATATTTGGTTTCCTTGCCTATGTTTTTTCCCCACAAAATGGAACTCTTCCACAAAGAAAAAGAAGTTTTCATAAAAAATGAGTAGAAAAACATCATGGAAATTTGAAATTTTAGGTATAAGTTAAAATAATAATGAAGGGTAAAAAAAAGAAAAGAAAAATAGCCTCAAAAGAAAGATGCTACTTGTGGTGGTAATATAAGTGAATTTATGAAATGTTTGAAATACAAGTAAAGACTAATTAAAAGAGTTTATTTGAAATTATGTAATTAACCAAGTTAGTTTATTAGAAAAAAAAATAAAGTTTCAAATTATTTTCACATTGAAACACAAAAAAATTTTGAAGTTAAGAGATGTTAGCATGCCTTAATAATAATAAGCCCTGGGGTCCCTGAGCACAGGACACCGCCCACAAACTCACATTCATGGCACTACAACATAAACACTGACACCAAGGTCACACACCAGTACATACCCTGGGAATACCTTACCTAGGAAGATCTGGCAGCAGGTATAAAATTTAAACTACCCACTAATATAGAGCTATGGAACAGAAAAATTGTCTCGGATAAATCCAGAGTTAGAGCTGCTCTGGAGGGACCAGCCCTCAACATTGCCAGGCAGTGCAAGGGGTGTCACATTGTTTGGATGACAGGTCATTGATATAGATGGAAAAAAGGGTGGGAGATAAGGAGGACCCCTGGGGAATGCCTCTGGTCAAGAATAGAGACTGAAGGGGGATTATTAGGGACTACAACACACTGGGAGCGACCGACCGGCAAGGAAGGATTGGAACCATTTAAGGACACTAGAAGACAAGGATATATTTTTAAGTTTGGTAAGGAGTATATTGTGATCTACTGAGTCAAAGGCTTTGGAAAAATCAAGGAGAATAAGGATGGTGAGTTTCTGTTGGTCTACAGCTGTATGGAGATCTTGGGAAATTTTAATGGGGGCGGAAAGGGTGGAGTAGTCAGGTCTAAAACCGGATTGGTGGTAGTTCAGAAGGTTATTTTGCTCGAGATAGTGGGATAATTGAGATTGAACTAATCGTTCTAGAGGTTAGGAAAGGTTAGATAATAAGGAAATTGGACGGAAATCATTAGGGGTAGCAAGATTGGAGGTTTTATTCAGTGGACGAACAAGAGCAGTTTTCCAGGTGTTGGGAAAAGTGGAGCTTGCAACAAAAAGTTATAAATGCGATAAAAGATAGGGAGAATGGAGGGAAGTGAAAATTTAATAAATTTAACTGAGATGTTGTCTGGTCCAAAATCATTGGTTTGGGATTTACGAATGGAATTAAGGAGGTCATCAGGAGTAATATGAGAAAAGAAAAAATTATTGGGATTAAAGGAAGAAAGAATGGGAGTCGGAGTTGGCCCTTGAAAAGAGGAATGGGAGGGGGAGTAGACAAAGTAAGTATTGAGTACTTCAGCTGAAATAGGAATAGACTGAGTTTGCCTAAGGTCAATTTACGGAGGATAGCCCAATTGGCTTTGGAATTTGGAGTGCTGGACAGGGATTGATGGAAGTGAAGGGATTTGGCACGGCGTATCGCAGATTGAGTGCTGTTTCGGAGTATTTTGAAGAAGAGATAATCTTCAGGAAGACGAGTTCTTTTAAACCACCGTCTTGCAGCATCTCTGGCTGTATCTATACTTCTCATGCATTTTCTCAGAGTGGGTGTAAGCCAAGGAGCAGGGGGCTGTTGGAGAGAAGAGCAATTGAGGATTTTGGATTTAAGACTGTCATGAACAAAGAGACCCACGGAGAGAAGAGCAATTGAGGATTTTGGATTTAAGACTGTCATGAACAAAGAGACCCACGCCACCACTCATTCGGTCCACTTTGTCATGAAGAAGGAGAGTATAATTGGGTAGAGAAATCTGAGAAGTTGGGATTGAGGGCTTTAGCCAGGTTTTAGAGACTGCAATTAAATGATAAAAGTTGTGAAGGAAAAAATTGTAAAATTCATCGAAATTTCTTATAGACCCATAAGACTGGCAACCTCAGAATTAACACCATCTAATTCAAGCTTGAAGACTGATCGGCCTCCAGCACAATGAAGACAATCCAACCACCAGATGAAAAGATCTTAGTGTATGAGATAGATGCACGATATGAATAAAGCAGCCATCCGTGCTTATTATCTAGCTTCAAATCTTGAAAAGGAAAAAACAGGATACAGAAGTAAGCTATGAGTTCACTGGAAAGAAACTTAATCACAGTTATCTATTAACAAATAGCAGATCAAATTAGGCAAATTCTGGCACAAAAGTTTTTATCCGATCCAGAGCTAAATGACATCAAAGAGGAAATCATAAGAAGCCAAAATCAGGTGTCTATGCATATAAATAGCGCAATGCATAATACTATTGAAATCCAACAAAATGTGACTGAGGAAGAGGAAAATGATACAACCACAGATGACTGTAATGAACTTCATAATCTGCTATTGGCTGAAAACTCTAAATTTGAAGGTTTATCACTAGAATGCAAACTGACACTTCCAAGAGTTTCATATTGTATAAAGACTAAAAATCAGGGATTGAAATAGATAATAAAAAAATCAAAATCAAATCTGATCAAAATTTTTATCTGGAATTTTTAGATATCATTTGATGATCATTATTTTTTAATACAATTTTTACAATTACCATACATAGATACACAGACGGTGTTACATCCCGTTACCAAGACTGGGCCTCCTCCAAAAGCTTTTGCCAGTCAATCTGATCAGCTGCAGCAGCTCTCCAGTTTCAAACTCCCAGTAGAGCCCGTGCGTCTGATGTAACTGAGTCCTCCCATCTTACATTTGTCCTGCCAACCTTTTTTTGTCCATGCATCTTTCCGGGAAGCATCTTCCTGGGTATCGCCGAATCATTCATAAGTGCAATGTGCCGTGCCCAGCCCATCGAAGTAGTCCTATCTTGATAAACTCGAATAATCTTAGCTTCATTAATGTGTAGCCCAAGTTTCTTTGCTGCATCTTCTATGGCCAACAACGACTCTCTTAATGCACATTCTGATCTGGCGGTAATATCAAAGTCGTCAGGTCACCCAAGAAGCTGAACGGTACTGTTAAGAAGGATTGCGTGGAAGTGGATTCCGGACACACGCACTGCTTTCTCTGCAGCGAAGTTAAAAAGAAGACAGGCAACCCCTTCCTTACACCACAGTCAGTATTATTCCAAAAAGTCACTTCCTACTCGTACTGCACACTTCGAGCCCGACATCGTCATTTTTATGAGACGTGTCAGTTTAATTGGGACGTTAATTTCCAATTTATCCACGGATTTAAAATCAACATAAAGGTGATCAGTAACTGTTCTATACTCTTTGCATTTCTCCAGCATCAGCCTCAGTGAGAATAGTTGGTCCAATGTGAACGTCCCTCGCCTAAATCCCACTTGATATTTGCCTATCTCCCTCTTGGCAAGAGGAACAAAGTGATGCGTTTAATATATCTACAAGGACATTGGTGGACCCCATCTTCTCGATTATCTTTGTGAACCAATCCACTCCAGCTGCACCCGACTTCACTCTGTAGGCTCAAAATTGGTATAAAATATTTTACCGCTCTACCAGGGCCCAAAGGATGAGATGTAAAAAATTGATTGAGTTCATTGAGGTTGCACAGAACATCCCCATCTATCTTCTTGACATCACCTAGCAGCACCTTCTGATCATCTCCAATGATTGCCGACAGGTCACTCAAGAGATTCATGACAGGCACCAGATTCCTGGCCCGGGTCGAATACTTCATCCCAGAGGCCCACGCTTACAGTAAGTAATGGCATCCCAAAATAACAGACCTAATCGAGTGCAAACCTCTGTGGTGAACAATGACGCAATTACAATTGAAATTAAAGGAATAAGGATGCGTAATAAATATTGAAACTAATTATAAATTAAAAATAAAATGATGATTAGATAAAAATGTAAGGAAAACAACACAAGATGATAATTAGAATAGAATTTCATAATAATATGTATGATAAATAATTTTAAAAAAGTGACAAATCCTCCAAAAGTGTCAGTTCATCCTTGAAATCCCCCAAACGATAACGGGGAAAGGATTCATCTGGCTCATGTCAGTCCTATTTAAAATAATTTTTTACTGTTTGCTGGTGAACCTAAGTGGGCCGAGATAAAAATCAGCAAGGATGCACCAACTAGTTTCTCTACCATCTCACATCTGGAATCTATTTTTGGATTACATGAGTATCCTCAGGTAATTGTATCTAATAACACATCAATCTTCTACAGTGAGGAATTCCGCACTTATTGTACTATTAACAGAATTTTTCAAGTTCATTGCACCAGGGCATCCTGCCACAAATGGTATTGTCGAACGTAACGTTCAAACCTTAAAATAAAGACTAAGAGGTGCCATGAATGACACTCACCCTATTGAGAAGAAGGTGCAAAACATTTTATTTTGATATATAGCCACATCCCTGGCCTGTGGAAAATCCTCAGCAGAGAAGTATCTACACCGCCAGTTCAAAATAAAAATAAGATGGATGCTATTTTCCTATATAAACCACAGCATTTTAATTAAATTATGAGATATTGTTATGTTAATCAATAAAATGTGTTTTCTATTGAAAAAGTGCTTTCCATTATTAGAAAAACCAAGTTAGACATCACATCCACACACACACACACACATCCACCAAACAAGAATGGGAGAATTAGGGAAATCAATAGAGATTTATGAGAAAATTTCATAAAACTAATTTGATTAGAATTCAGTGAGGTTTAATACTTACTTGATAAGGTTGATTCAACCTTCTTTTAACCTCCACTCTATAATTAGTGAATTCCTGTTCATTCTGCCGATTTATATATTTTAGTTTTAAAATTTCGTATACTCTGCGAGCCTGTTTCTAATGAGGAAAAAAAAAAATTGGTTATATATATATATATACACAAAAAAGTACCCACATATAAATATAAAAGAAAAATAATAAATTTCAATTAAATACCTTAAATATAATATAATACAAACATTTATAGTTAAAAAACTATCATAAAAGACAGATCGATACCATTTGTTTAAGAATTTAGAAATAAATTGATTTAAAAAAAAAATCATAGAGCCCACAATGTGTATACAACCATGACATAAATAGTGTCAGGGAATATTGAATCAATAAACTAAATTAAACAAACCTTTATTCAGTATAATAATAAAAAGTTAACAAAACCAACATGCTTTTATGTACAAAAAACAATTGAGATAGAGGTTATAAACAACAACCATAAAGAGCTTAACTCAAAAGAAAAGTCAGTAAGGCTGCTTAAGCAGAATAATAAAATTGTTAGAATGATAGCAAGATGTCATTAATAAAAAACGGCAAATACATAATATAATAAAATTTATTCTTTGTATTAAAAAAAGATGTTTTATTTCACTCTTCAAAAACTGAACAAACTTAAGGATCCACCCAATATTCCGTTTGAAAATTCTCAAGTCATTGTTCATAAAAGCGGTGGGAGTCCAAGTTTCGACACCATAAGTAAGAACTGGTCTAATAAGAGTCTCAAAATACATTTTTGTGTGATGTGATAGCAGTGATGACCATTACAATCTCTTATTTCTCCTTTAGTTAATTATAGAATTCTTTCATATTTTATATATAACTATTTTTCATATCACAGTTCAATGTAAAATGGTTTCTTATTTAAAATTAAAAAAAAATTAAAGGCACTCTAGAGGAAGAAATTTTGAAAATTAGCCATTTTAGCCCTGTTAATGAACATCAATGAGAATAAAACGTACATTTTATTAAAAACTGCTCAATTTTAGACTGATATAATGAATTTAATCAAAATCCTTAGAGCCATTTTCAAGAAAATCGTAAAAATGTGTTAAATTGATGATGTAAAGTGCCATTTCCGGTTAGCCGATTTTGACGAAAACGTTGCTGTAACATCTCAGGCATATAAAAACCTTCTTAAATATGCAATTTCACTTTCGTATGACTTTTCATTTTGGAGCTAGATTGTTCACTCACACATAGACACACAGATAATTATGCGAGACTTGATTATTTGGATTCAGGAGACATCAAAACATGTATTTCCATTGAAAACTCGGATTTGAAAATTTTCATGATAGCAATACTTTCTCTTACTGTATATTTCATATAGGTAAAGGTAAGTGAAAGTAAAAACATAATTGAATCAGGGGTGCTCTCTCGTATTCCATTAAAATTAGAAATACTCTATTTATTATATCGACGGTAGGCAATAAAAATTTAGTTACTCCATCTGCTTTTATAAACCACACAACTTCAGTCTCTGAGCCTTTCTGAAAATCTGAAAATTGGATGAAAGGTAGCAGGTGATATGCCCGTCACATCTATTTGACAACAGATAGACAGACCGAATTTGATCCTTGATGTCTGAAACGTAAAACACGAGTTGAAATTTTCGATTCTCAGTATAAAATTTTTATTAACCTCTCTCACGAATACAATGCTTCTCTACCTTCAGTAGTGAGGAAGAAAAATTAAAAGTTTACATTTAGTATGAAAATTTCATTTCATTTTCTTGGAAACATGTGATTTAGGTTAAATAATGTTAGTTTTCTGACCTAAATCCTCACCGCATTTCTCATCCCCTCCGACGAGATGATGGCTCCTGGGCAGCATCTGACGAAGATAAAGCTGAGGAGTTCGCCATTCACCTATCCAATACATTTATTTCACATCCTGCCCACACCGTAACAGTAGAAGAATTCCTTACATCACCAATCCCACTTTCCTTGCCCCCTAAAGTTATTCATCCTTCCGAAGTGAAATTTCAATTAAAAAAACTAATCCACCGTAAAGCTCCTGGACATGATCTCCTTACCCCTCAAATCCTTTGACAACTTCCATCCAAAGCAGTCATATGACTGCTCCAGTTTCCAATTATCATATTCTTTCAAACTTCATATTTAGCCATTTTTTATAGTTATTGTCAATAAAAGAGAGCTAATTTTTTTAAATAAACCACATTAAAGGTACTTTAGAGGAAGAAGTATATGAACATCAGGCACTTGAGCCCTGTAAAGTGACATCAATGGGGATAAGACCTAAATTATATTAAAGACCACTTAATTATAAAATAATACACCGAGTTTAATCATAATCGTAAGAGCCGTTGTTTAGGCAACTTTCCAAATTTAATTAAAATAATGGCAAAACCTCTAATGAGTTCAACATAAGCAACATTTGACTTATTTTGGCAGTGGACTGTATTTTAATGAAGTGGTAGGTTATATGAATTGTGTAAGATAGACTCACCCTTTTATACTTGCATAGACATCTTACTTAACTGAGAGGACCCTCCAGTCTGCTGCAGTAGTTGCAGATTCGATATCAATCAATGCGGAATTTCGTGATAATGATATGAAGTTTAGATTGAAATTAAAACTTATAAACATTAACCATAAACCATGATCTGATTACGTACAGAAAACTTAAATACTGTAATTTTTATGCCAACCACATTTTATGTTGAATGAAAAGCAATAATTAAAAAAATGTTTAATTTAGGTTACAACTAAATACTTCATAGTAAAATAGATTAAATGTAATTAAATCTTTTTTTTTTAAACAATAAAAGGGAATTTTAAGCAGTTAAACTACGGTAAGTTTGGGTTTTCATAAAATCAAGTATTCTACACGATTTTTTTTATAAACCCCCAACCGTCCTGAAGATACCACACTTTCGGAAAAACTTTGTTGTTCGATGAGCTTTAAGTCTATATTAATTAAGTTGAGTTAATGTTTTCTCTAATTGAGTAGAAATATTAGTACAGTCAAATTAGGAATCGACCCAAATATTTTTTAATCTTTAACTCAATTAGAGATGAATCTCAACTTACTCTGTAATAAACCACAACTTAATTAATATAGACTTAAAGCTTATCAAATAACAAAGTTTTTCTGAAAGTGTGGTATCTTCAGTCCATTAGGAGGGTTACAAAATAAATTGTGAAGAATCCTTGATTTCATGAAAACCTGAAATTACCATAGTTTAACTGCTTAAAAGTCCCCTTCTTTAAATGGCTTTAATAAAAGACAAGATTTACTTGCATTTAATATAAATTTAATCTAGTTTACTATGAAGCAATTGGTTGTAAATTAAATTAAATATTTCTTCAGTTATTGCTTTTTATTCAACACAAAACATGGTTGGCTTAAAAATTACAAAATTTCAGTTTTCTGGTTATCTTAATGTAATCAGACCATGGTTTATGGTAACTTTTTATAATTTTTAATACTTTTTATCACATATCAATTATATGAAATCAATGTCAATCAAAACTTCATATCATTATCATGAAATTCCCCATTGATTGATACCAAATATAATCTGATTTTTTCAATAACTTTTAAGAATCATTAAACAAAAGAAACTTTGAACAATAATTTGAACGACCAAAAATGTTAAAAAACTTATTTAACTTCAAAAAGATATCTACTGTGAACTACACAAATTTCGTGGTTTGGAGCGATTTTTACTTTAAAGTGGAAATATGATAAATGTATAGGATCATTTTTATAAATATTTTAATATTGTATTGAACAATCTTTGCGAAACACCTCATAGTTTTTGAGATATTCTAAAAACACTGAAAAATATCAGTTTTCAGACCTCCCCTCCACAAGAAAATTTGAATATTAAGAATTGTGAATATTTGGAACTTTTTACCAGTTATTATGGGGAGGGTAACAAACAATTTCTGACAAGTTTCATCTTTATTTTTTAAATGTTAGGATCAATCCCTAATTTTACTGAACTATATGTGTACATTTCTGGCACATGTGCACATTTTCTTTTACCCTCTGGTAGAGTATAGAAGAGAGATAATACAATAAGGGATAAATATTCAATGTTTACATCAAAACTTCTAGCTAAACAATATATAATTACCTTATTAATTTTACAGATGATATGCATGTCTTCTATTAGCTTCATTCTAGTTTCAGTAGCTAGTTTTTGGGGATTGATAATATCTTTCTCCAAGACTCGTTTGCAGTCAACACAGTCACGCACTCTTTGGAATTCTTCAGATGGGTCCTCAACTACAATAAATTGTTTTTTATTTTTTAGAAAAAAATCCTTAGAATAGAAAACTTAAATTATAAATCATATTTTATAATTTTAATGATTGTAATATATGTTAATATTTTATATTGATAACATCAGATGTTATTTAAATGGGACTTGATCCAGGTGTTTTCAGTTTATTCGAATGTGCAGAATTGTATGTAATACTTAAAAACAAATAAAGGAATTTATTAAAACTGACATTAACAGTTGGCAACGTGGATCATAAAAAGCATTTCAGATGAAGCCGAATAAAGAAAAGCGAACTCTATCCTCCTCACCGAACTGCTGCGTTTCACAAATTCTTTTAAACTCAAGCCATCTCCCTCTGGAATTCTATCCCTTTTAATATTCGACTCGCAAAGTAGGTATCCTCTTTTAAATCTCTCCTCTTCAAGCACCTATTCCATTCCGAATCCGGTTGATCATGAAATGTACTTAAAAATCTAAGACATAGAACTCTCAAAGTACTCCCAGATACTTTGATGATTTTGTGATTTATTGATATTTTGTTTATTTATTTTACTTTTCTCTGTTTATTTTATATGTATGTACGTTTTTATATATTTTCAGTATCTGTACTGTTATTTTATTACCAATCATCTTGTAAATATTTTATTTTATTTTATGGTCACACCAACATGTTAATTTATAATCTGTATATATAATTTGTTCTAAAGGGACATTAGCACCAGAATAATTGAATTATTTTCATTCTTTCTTTCATTTATTCATTCCTTCATGTCCTGACCTCCATTGGTTGGGATCAGTGTTGGGCAAAATTTATCTTAAATAATAGATAATGAATAATTTATTCAAACTTTCAACTACGAATAACGAATAATCCAGTTTATCTTTTATCTAGATATAAATCAATTCAAGTTATCTATTATCTTTTTATTTGTTATTCGAGTTTTTCAAATAAATAATTTGACACTAATTTTATTTTTCTTCTATATAACGGCCTTTTTATATGTTTTCAGATCCATAGTTTTTGAAAAAGATCTCCATTTTAAGATTAGGCTACTGCGTTGCAAATTTTTTTAGTTTTTTTTTTTTACTTCAATACAAGGATTGATTTATATGTTTTCGGAGCAGTACTTTTTAAAATGAACACCATTTCGAGACCACGTCACTGCGTTGTGACTTTTTCGGATTTCTTCCATATCAGGATCTATTTGTACATTTTTGGAGTTGCGCTTTTTGAAAATGATCAAATTCGGGTTTAATCTATATTAAGGTCGACAATTATGTTTTGGGGAGCGCTTTTTATGAAAATACTGTTGGATTTGAGATTGCGCCCCCGGGCATAGACTTCTTGTAACTCTTCGGATTTAATCGATAAGATTAATATCGATTGACCTTAATCAATATTAAGGTTGACTATGTTTTGGGGAGCGCTTTTGATGAAAATACTGTGGGGTTTGAGATTGTGCCCCCAGGCATCGACTTTAAGTAACTTTCTGGATTTCATCGATATTAGGGTCGACTATTATGTTATGGGGGGAGCTTTTTATGAAAATGTCGGATTTGAGATTGCGTCCCTGGGCATTGACTTTTTGGATTTACCCGATATCAAGGTTGACTATCATGTTTTGAGGGGCACTTTTTATGAAAATACTGTCGGATTTGAGATAGCGTCCCCAGGCATCGATTTTATGTAACTTTTTGGATTTAATCGATATGAAGATCGGCAATTATGTTTTGAGGGACGCTTTTTATGAAAATACTGTTGGATTTGAGATAGTGTCGCTGGGCATAGACTTTATGTAACTTTTTGGATTTAATCGATATCATGGTCAACAATTAGGTTTAGGGGGGTGGGACTCTTTTTATGAAAATACTGTCACATTTGAGACAGCATCTCAGGGCATCGACTTAATGTAACTTTTCGGATTTAATCGATATCAAGATCGACTATTATATTTTGAGGGGCACTTTTTATGAAACTACTGTCAGATTTGTGATTCATCCCCCGGGCATCGGCGTTTTGTAACTTTTCAGATTTTATCGATATCAGGGACGACTATTATGTTTTGGGAGGCATCTTTTTTTTTTTTTATGAAAATACTGTTTTGATTAAAGGTAAGAATATAGATTACAAGAAAGGTAAGGATATTTTATTTGTTTATTTAGAAATATTACATTCTGTCACATCAAGGACATTTATAATAGTGTTCAGAGAAAGCACACTCACACTCTATTTACAATAAAAAAAAAAATAAAATAATACAGAAACTTAATAATAATAAATGTATTATTTTAATACTTGAACCATATCTATTTGAAGGCACGATCAGAGGATTGGATATACCTGGGTACGGAATTATTTCATTACCCACCAACCCCAAAGCCTTCCTACTTTACAAATATGAATTAAAACTGCTACCTCTATGGCGATTTTGATCTAGAGATCTTGGAGTAGCCAAATACACCCAGCAAGGGGATGGCATCATAACGGTGAGGTATATACTATATGAATATCAAGAACCTGCAGAAGGAATTGAAGGAATCCTAAGCAGCTCAAATACTAACTACAGAGGTGAGAAACTTATGGAGACCATTATTAAATATGATCTTGACATTCTAAATAGGGGGAATAAAGCGACCTTTTATAATAAAGTTTGATCAGAGATCATAGACATAACACTATCTACCCAAATGATCAGTGTCCTTATTGATAACTGCCATGTTTCTGATGAAGAAACATGCTTGGATCATAAGTAAATCAGATTTGACATATCTGTTAGAATACAACATGATGTGGAATTTAGATATCCCAAACTTACAAATTGGGATTCCTATAGCACCAATTTGGAGGCGGCTATTAACTGCTGCCCCAAAGCTATCCACAGTCCATGACAATTAGAATGTCTTAACACTTTATTAACTGACACTATGATTAAATCATTGCCTGAACAGTAATGATGCCAAAAAAACCATAACCAACAGGAAGGCTTCCTGGTGGAATGGAAGTCTCTCAAAGCAACAGACACCCACAAGGAGATTGTTCAATGCTGCTAAAACATCTCGCAATTGGGATACCTATAAGAAAGCTCTAATTGAGTATCAAAAATCTGTCAGGAAAGCCAAAAGACAAGCCTGAAGAAGGTTTTTTCTGGAGATGGACAATATTTCCGCTACATGTCGAGTAAGCAAGATTCTGTCTAAACAAGCTAACCAAGGTACTTTGGAAACGCTCAAAAGTGATAACCACACCACAAATGAAATTGAAACTTTGAGTGCATTAGCAAAAGCGCACTTCCCCAAATGTGGTATGACAGAAACAGAACCTCTTGATCTCACTACACAGGATCATGGTGCAAAGTAGTCATAACAAATAGCAGACTTGAACGAGCGGTACATTCATTCTCTCCGTTTAAATCTGCTGGCATTGATGGGATCTTTCCGGCACTGCTGCAGAAGGGTCTCTCAGTAATAAGAAAATACCTCTTGTAACTACTAAAAGGTAGCCTAGCGCTAGGATACCTATCAATTTAATGAAGGATATGAAATGTGCACTATATTCCAAAGCCTGAAAAGGAATCGTATGAAGATTCCAAGGTATTTAGACCAATATACCTGTCATCCTTTTTAATGAAAACATTGGAAAAGATACTAGACAGGCATATCCGGGAGTACATATTGGCTAAAAGCCCAAAACAATTTGCCTACCAACCAGGAAAATCCTATGAGGTGGCACTTTATAACTTGGTTACAAGAATTGAGAAATCCTTAGAACAGAGGGAAATCATGATAGGCACCTTCTTTGATATTGAGGGTAACTTTGATAGAACCCCCTATGACATCATTAATGAAATGAAATGAAATGAAAATAGATTTTTATTATCCTGGGACTTTTGTCCCTTTAGGACAAATTATAGATACAGAGGAAATGCCTGTGTGGCCTATTCCTAAAAAAAATGTATTGCGCAGTTCATCAGGCATTTAAGTTTGGCCTCAAATTCTCCCGAGAGTCCGCCGTACACCAGACAGCCATAGCCGAAGTGGGAGAACACAAGGGAAAAAACCAGGAGTTGTCGGGATTTATATGGAAGGAGATAGCGGAGACAGTTAAACTGTTTCAGGGTAGAGATAGTACGACGGGAAATTTGGGAGATGTGTGGTTTCCAGGAGAGAGTTTGATCAAAGGTAACACCAAGGTTTTTTACCGAGGTATGGAATGAGATAAGTGAGTTGTTCAGGAAAAGATTGGGGAATGTCGGTAAGGATTTGAAGAGTGAGAGAGTTCCGATCAGGATAGCTTTTGTTTTCTCGGAGTTTAGAGTGATTCTATTGTGGTTTGCCCAGGCACAAATTCCGTCTATATCTTTCTGTAATTTTTGGATGACGTCAGAGGATTCGATCGGATTGAAGGAGAGGTAAATCTGGACGTCGTGGCATACAGATGGTATTGACAGTGTAGGATATAGAATGGAAGGTCATTGATATAGATGGAAAAAAAAGTGGGAGATAAGGAGGAGCCTTGTGGGATACCTCTGGACAAGGGATTCTGATGGGAGGTTATTGGGGACTACAACATATTGGGAGCGGCTGGCAAGGAATGATTGGAACCAATTAAAAGTACTAGTAGAAAAGGAGATATTTTTAAGCTTGGTTAGGAGAATTTTGTGGTCTACTGAGTCGAAGGCTTTGGAGAAGTCAAGGAGAATTAGGATGAGGGCAGATTGAGTGGAGTAGCCGGGTCGGAAGCCGGACTGGTTGGGATTTAGGAGATTATTCTGTTCTAAAAAGTCGGATATCTGAGTTTGAACTAGTCGCTCTAAAGGTTTGGAAAGGTTTGAGAGGAGAAAAACTGGACGGAAATCATTAAGAGTTGATGGATTGGAAGTCTTCATAGGGCGGACTAGTGCGGTTTTCCAGGATGTAGGGAAGGTAGCGTTTTGTAGTGAGTAATTGTAGATATGGTAGAGGATTGGAAGGATGAATAGTAGTGAGGCTTTGATCAGTCTGA